CTGCTCCTGCTCCTGCTCCTGCTTCTTTTCTTAATGTATGTGGATGTTACAGGGATGCACTAAGCAGCTTGGATTCATAGCGTTCCTCTTGTTTTCAGCCTCCCCATGCTGGGATTACAGATGTAGGCCACTAGGATTGGCCTCTGTGGCAGGCTCAGCCTACCCTGGGGCGGGCCTGGTTCCGCATGTGGTGCCTGGTGTGGCACTGTCCGTGTGCTTGCCTAAACACATGCGTAGTCTGTGGGTGACTTCACAGGCTCTGACTTGTCTTTTGTGTAAAGGTGTGAGTCGGGGATATTGGCTAGATGGGTCATCAACGAAGGGCCTACTCCGGCAAGCACAGGAACAGTGGTTCCCCACCTGCCACTCTCACCCCCGGGGGTAGGTTGCGTTGAGCTGATCACAGAGTCCAGGCCTAGTGGCACACACACATTGTCCCAGTGCTAGGGCTCTGAGAACAGGAGAATCACCATGAGGTAGAACAGCATGGTAAGACTGCAAGAAATTCATTATAAAACATAAAGGAGGCCTGGTAGGGTGATGTGGCATGTGTAGGTGTTAGAGTAAGGTCTATTTGAATATTTCACTACTAATGTAAGCACTAGAGTTTTACTTAGTGGCTCCATTGTATATTTTTAAATCACTAATCAGATGGTTAATAAAATTATATTGGACTCTGAAGGAATGTAGCATTCAGATTTGGGACAGTGTTAATGAAGCTGAAGTTATTGGTGACAGGGTTAGTTGGAAAGTTGAGGATAGCTTCAGTGATAGGGTAAGAGTGAGTGTTGGCTTTAGGATCAGTACAAGAGTTGAAGCAAAGATTAGAGTGAGGATTAGTGTTAGTGTTAATGTTAGGATTAGTGTGAGAGTCAAGGTTACTGTTAAAGTGACTGTGAGGGTTAGGGTTGATGTGAGACTTTAGGCTCAGCAGCATCACAGTGTTAGGCTTCAAGTTATGTTCCAATTGTTGTTAGTGATTAGAAATAAAGGTTTAGGAGATTAGGGTTAAAGTTCATGTTAGTTTGGGCTTTAAGGTTAGATTAGGTGTTAAGGTTAAGGTTGCACTTGGGATACCTCTTGGATTTGGGTTGAAGTTGGGAAAAGAATTGTTTATGTGAAACATTAGATTTTGGTCTTAGGATTTACAGTGATGTTGAGGGCTTAGGTTCAGGGTGAGTATAGGTGTTATGTTGAGGGCCTAGGGTGAGCATAAGTGTTTTGGTGATGGTTATGGTTCGTATGCTATTAAGTGTGTAGTGAGGGTTTGTGTGAGGATTTGGTGTGTGATTCCTGGTTAATTTTATGGTTAGAGTTCATGGTTAGCCTTTGTGTTTGAGATATGTTTAGGATTAATACTATACATAGTGCTTCTATTAGACATATTGTTGAGGGTTTGTTTCAGTGTTAAGGTTTAAAATGAGGGATGGCTACTTGCTTAATTTTAGCATTATCACTAAGGGATGAGGTCAAAGATTAGATTGAGGCTTCACTTTAGTATTTGATTACTGGACATTGAAAGGGTTCAAATGTGCACATAGGAACAGCTAGCCATAGTAAAGAGTGTGGCAAGGTCCTTCCTTTATAACTTGAAACCATTTGGAAAATTTGGACTGTAAATCTCATGTGAATTCCTGTTCACATCCTCATGTAGGGTCAGTTTTGTTGATTTTCTTTTTCATCTTTGTAATCTGCATCTTGTTCTATTACTGAATTTTGAGAGTTCTTGCTTGGAGAACATCAAAGTATATGATAATTATTTGAGATTGCTTTATTTATCCCATATGAGTCTCCACAGACTCAAAATTCTCCCTTCAGTTGAGTTCTTTGTATCTCACAATGCACCCATTTTTACTTCCTTATAGGAAGTTTCAAAGTTTCTTGGCATATCTGGGACTTGTTGATCCTTCAAGATTTTAGTTTTTAGTCTTCAGATATTGGCATGATTTCTGTAATTCATTTTGTTGATAGTTTCTCATTTATTTCTAGTATGATCCAGTAAGATGTAGGGAATTCGATCAACTCCATTGTGTTATTTAACTCCAGAAAGTTCCATGTGCTTGTGAGACAAATCTATCCTATTTTTGGATGAAGCACTCAGTTCATTTGTTTGATGTTCTCTGACTGTGTTGGCATTTCCTGTGGTTCTGTCTCTGTCTTGTGCTCTATACTTAGCCCTGAAAAGAGTGGAGGTAGCTGTGTTCTGCTAAGACTTTGCAAATGTCTGCTGTAAGCCATATTTCTCTCCACAGTTGTTGTGTTGATCTCTGATCTATAGGTACTAAATTCTTAGGTCATTCAGATGTTGGGGAGCAGTAACTGTGATGTTTAGGAAATGGGCTGTGAATATATCTTCCTTCACAGTGCACGATGACCTGGGTAACCTGCTGCATACCCTCCATTTGCCTCTCTAAGAGAAGGGTCTCAGGAATCTGCAGAGAGCATCTCAGCTAATGGGCTTTGGTCTGAGAAAGTCCACCTTTTGGCACTGGGCTCACATACGGGCTCATCCTCAGTGAGGCTTCCTGGAGCAGCAGTGCTGCAGGGCTTGTGGTGTGTCCTTTCTGAGCAGGTCTTTCAGGGATGGCCCCGACACCCGCCCATTTGTGTGCAGTTTAGAGTGCACCTTCCTGGCCAGGTGAGCATGGAAGAAACAAGCAAAACAGCTTTGATTGTTGCTGCAAAGGGGACCTGTGATGTCCTGGGGTCTGTTGCTCTGTGTTGGAGGGGTCTGATTCTTCAGTCTTCAGTATTTGATTTGTTTCTTGTGAACATCGTGAACATCTGTCAGTGACTGCTTGAAAGTGATACTGTAAAGCCCTGCCTAGACCAGTGAGAGAATCTCCAAAGAACAAATTATTGTGTAGTAGCATTGTTGAGTGTTTCCTGACTGGTGAGTGAGAGTGCGAGCAAGTGCAAAGCGGTGTGCAAGGGCAGCTGTTTCCTTGATAGGAAGCACAGAGAGACCCTCGTCCTTCAGAGCTGGTGTCTGGAGAGGCTGGGTCCTTCCAGTGGCCCCAACTCCTCTTGCCAGAAAGTAACGTGGCTACCAGCTCCCATGGATGTTGTGGCTGCAAGGTGGTGGGCATGCTATCCACAGCAAGGCCCTGCCTGGGCCCATCCCTGTGCTGAGGACTCCAGGCCTGGGCACAGGTCCTTAGTGCTCCTGTAGGGGCCTCCCCTTCTGCTGGCTCTGGGCCTGTGCTAGTGCCAGGAGTGTGTGGATGATCACAGCGTTTCTATGGCCACTCTGCTGAATCTTAAGTCTGCGCTAGAACTGCGCTGTGTCCCATTCTCACTGCAGTTTGAATCAAGGTCCTTTGCACTGAGGTATAGCCTGACATTTTGATTGATCATTTGGACAAAGAGGGTGCTCAGTTGCTAAGTTCCTGAGGCTTCCCTTCAACTTGTGGTCCTCTGGCCCCAGCCTTCCCAGGCACTAGCATTATGGGTGTTTGCCTCTACACCTAGCTTGTTTCTT